CTCAGGCTTCAGGCTTTTTGTGCTTTTGTTTTCAGAGCTCTGAGGGTCTTTGACATTTTGCTTCTTCCAGTGTGCTATGATCCAAGGCCAGGTGTGGTCACTGCTCTTCCAGCTTATACCTTGGTTTATGAATAACCTCAAGTACTCCTCTCCATCCCTGAGCCTCAACCAGTGCTCCCACACTCCCACACTGTGCCACCACAAATGGTCTTATTCCCTATGGTCCTGGAAATGCAACACCACTCTCTTCTCCCACAGCCACAAGTGTCAGTCTGCCCCTCTGTCCAGGAACCAAAAATAGGGACTCTGCTCTCCTGTGAGTGACCACAACCAATAAGGCCTCTGCTCCCTCAACACTCAAGGTGTGCTTGCTCCTTCTGGCCTGCGGTCTGGGACCATGCCCAGCCAATACGCCTGGGCCACAAGTCCAGTGCCAGCAATGAAGGGCCCTGCAATTTTCCCCTGTTCAGCCTCTGAACCCCAACACGTTTGGTGGGGGCAAAAATTCATGAAGCCTTGGCTTCCTCCTATGTGATGATATCTTCATGTCTTTCTTGACCAGACCACCATGCCTGTAGGTCAAATCTTTCCTAACATCTTCCCCAGTTGTCTTAGGCTGGATGACTGTTTTACCCCTTGTAATGCCAGAAAATTGAACTGCTTCCATTTGAATTGTCTTAGGAAAATTCTAAAGATCACCTGGCAAAATAAGGTACCAGACACTGAGGTCTTCTCTCAAGCCGAACTGCCAAGAATCCAAACTCTACTGCAGACAATGCAATTCCAATGGCCACATAGTCTGAATGCCAAACATGTTTACCTGAAAACTGTTTTACAGAGAATTCACACAAGGCAAGCACTCACACAGAGGTGAGAAGAAGCAATACAAGGACACTCTCAAGATCTCTCTCTAGAACTTTAGTATTAATTTTGAGACAGGGGAAATTCTGGCACAGGACTACCCTGCATGGCATGTCTGCATCCAAGAAGGTGCTGTGCTCTGTGACTAAAGCAGAATCACAGTAGCTCAAAAAAGAAGAATGTGAGATGTGCAAATCCAGAGATAATTCCATCACAAATGTTGATACAGGCTATTTGTGCCCAATTTATGGTAGAGACTTCTGAGTTTGTATTGGTCTGATCAGCCACAGTTGGACACACGGTACCTTAACCCAACATCATGATGTCATTTTGGTCCTCTTTGAGGACAAAGGACAAGCATCAACAACAATTATTTCTCCCACTCTAAAATTTACTTTGAGGTATTAAGTTATTGGGGGGAGAGGGAGAAGGGATTTGGGAAAGCCAAGTAATTTCCTGCCTTGTTCTGCCATCTTCCCACAATTCCCTGAATTCTACTTTCTTTAAAGTGGCAAAAACCATATATCCTTCCCTCTTAGAAAATAACTATTTACAAAAATAACAAAAATACCCTACATGCCAACTAACAAAAAAAGAAAAAATGTTATGAATGTGTCTACTTCTTTTTTCCCCTGGATCTTTTAAATTATATTTTCAGTTCTAAATTCCCTCCCTCACAGTTTCCCCAACTCTTCTTCTCTCTACTGAGAAATCAAGAAAAGCAAAATCTGTTGCAAACATGCATAATCAAGGAAAATAGATACTGGCATTAGCCATGTCCAAAAACAAACAAATGTAGGCCTTCATCTTTATTTTTGAGTCTATCCCCTCTCTATCTGAAGGTGTGTAGCACGTTTCATCAGGAGTTCTCTGGAATTGTGGTTGATCAAATTTCCTAAAATCTTCAAAGTTGTTTATTTTTACAGTATTGTTGTAATTATATAAATTATCATCCTGGTTCTGCTCACTTCATTTTGCATTATTTCATACAAGTCTTCTTAGGTTTCTCTGAAATATTCCTTCATTTCCTATAGCATAATAATATTCCCTAACATTCATATACCATAACTTGTTCAGCCATTCTCCAACTTCTGGACACTCCCTTAAATTGCAATTCTTTGCTACCACAAAAAGAGCCGCCAAATTTTTGTACATATAAGTCCTTTTCTTCTTTCTTTGATCTCTTTAGAGGAATAGACCTAGTATCACCATCACTGGGTCAAGGGGTGTGCACAGTTTAATAGCTGTTGGGGCAGAATCCCAAATTGCTTTACAACAGCTGAACCTGTTCACAGTTCTATCAATAGTGCATTAATTTCTCACAGCTCCTCCAGCACATATTCTTGAACTAATTCTATATGGCTATTGACAGCTTTGATTTATTTCTCTAAAAACTACCTGTTCACATCCTTTCATCATTTACCAATTAGGAAATGGTTCTTATTCTTATAAATTTGAATCAGTCCTTTATATATTTCAGAAATAAGACTTTTATCAGAGAAACTTACTGCAATAATTTTTTTAACCAGTTCTCTGCTTCTTTTCTAAATTTAGCTGCATTTGGTTTTGTTTGCTAAAAAACAAAACAAAAACAAAAACTCTTTTATGTAATCAAAATTGCCTTTACCTCTTGTGAACCTGTCTTTTTTATCATGAACTTTTCACCTATCCATAGATCCGATAATTTCTTCTCTATTCCTCTAATTTGTTTATGTCACCTTTTTTGTCTAAATCATATACTGACTAAGATTTTTCTTAATATACGGTGGTGTGATATACCTTGTTTCTGCCACACTACTCTCCAATTTTTCCAACAGTTTTTGTCAAATAGTGAATTTTGGAACCAAAAACTGGGATCTTTGGATTTATCAAACACTAGGCTACTTAATTCATTTGCTTCTGTGTATTGTGTACCTAATCTGTTCCACTGACCAACCCATTTCTTACCCAGCATCAATTTGTTTTAATGATTATCGCTTTGTAGTATGGTTTGAGATCTGGTACTGCTAGGCCACCTTCCCATTTATTTTCATTAATTGACTTGATATCCTTGATCTTTTGTTTTTCAGATTAGTTTTTTTTTCTAGCTCTGTAAAGTAATCCTTTGCTACTTTGATTGGTACAGCACTGAATAAATTAATTTACATAGTATTATCATTTTTATAATAGCTCAGGCTAACCATCATCAATCAATATTTATATAATTTTTTAGATCTCTATTTTTTGTAGCGTTTTATAAATGTGTTCATATAGTTCCTATGTGTGTCTTGACAGACTCCCAAGTAACTCTTATTTCAGTATTTATTTTAAATGATTTTTTTTTCTATCTCTTCCCATTGGATAAAATGTTTGTATTTTTCTGTGGGGAGATGATAGATGTACCCACACAAAATTCTATCTTCATCAGGGGTCACAGAGAAAGTCTAATTAAATGGAGAGCCTGGGAATGATTCTGTTATATTTTAATGTTAAAATAATGGAAAGGGGGAGGAAAAGAAATATACTTGAGGAGGAGGGGAAGACAGGAGAAAATGAGAAAGGGGAAAATTATATCACATAAGTAGGGTATACAAACAAAAGTCCACTCAACAAAGAGGGAGTGTTGGGGCAAGGGAGCAGGCAATACTTGAATCTCAATCTCATCTGAACTGGTCAAAGGAGGGAAGAATATTTATTTGTATATATATATATAATATATGTGTGTGTATGTGTACATGTATGTATATGTATAAATGTATACACCCACATGCACACACACACACACACACACACACACAGAGTTGAGTATAGAAATAAATATCATCCAACACAGAAAGAGGGGAGAAAATGATTAAGGAAAAGGCAGTAGGTAATAAGAGGGAGGGCAGATTAAGAGAGGGATTAGCCAGAAGAAAAAAAGTCTTAAAGAGGAGGCAAAAAACCAACAAGAAATAAAGCACAAGAAAACAGGATGGAGGGAAATACATAACTAATAGTCACAAGTGTGAATGGAATAAACTCACCCATAAAAGGGACGAGTATAGTAGAATGATTACAAACCAGAATCCAACAAAATGTTGTTTACAAGATACACACTTGAAACAGAAAGACACACAGAGAGTTAAAAGGAGAGGCTGGAGCAATTTATTTTCCTTCAGTTGGAGTAAAAAAATGGCAGGGGTAATAATCATGATCTCAGATAAAGCAACAACAAAAACAGACCTAATTAAAAGAGATAAACAGGAAAGCTACATTATACTGAAAGGTACCACAGACAATGAATTTCTATCAATATTAAACACACATATACCAAATGGCATAGCATCTAATTTCTTAAACGAAAATTAAATTAATTATATGGGGAAAGAAATTAAACTAAAATAATGAGGGATTTCAATTTCTACCATCTTAGTCCCAGATAACTCTGACCAAAAAAATAAAAAAATAAATTAACAACCTGGATATCATTTTAGAAAAGCTAGATATGATAGGCTTCTGGAGATTACTGAATTGGAATAGAAAGGAGTATACCTATTTCTCAGCTGTGTATGGTAGTTGTGAAAGTACCATACATTCACAAAAACTTACTATGTATTAAGAACATAAAAATCACATAAACAAAGGCAGAAAATCAGAAATATTAAATTCATCTTTTATGACAATGCAATAAAATTATATTCAATAAATGGGCTTTGAAGCAAAGACTAAAAAGGAATTAGAAATTAAATAACTCAAACCTAAAGAATAGGTGAGTCAAAGAACAAATCATAGAAACAACGATTTCAATAAGATAATAACAACAAAGAAATAGCATACCAAAATTTGAGGGATGTAGTCAAAGCAGGACTTAGGAGAAATGTTATGTCTTAAATATTTTCATCAATAAAAGAGAAAGTAGATCAACAATATGGCTTGCAAGTAAAACAATTAGGAAACCAACAAATTTAACCCTTTCTCCAATTAAAAACCAAGGTAGAAATCTTCAAAATTAAAGAGAATTAAAGAAGCAAAAAAACCAAACAATTAAATAATAAATAAAACTATGAACTGGGACGGGGGGGGGGGGAGGAAACATAAGCCATTAGGTAATTTGATTTAAAAAACAAAACAAAATTACCAGCATCAACAAAGGAAAAGGTAAATTCACAACTGATGGGGGAAAAAATTATTAGGAGCTATTTTGCCCGAGTATATGTCAATAAAACTGACAATCTAATATTAACAACTCCCTCATCACTGTCATACTCCTTCAGAAAAATGGAAACTAATTGCATTTTTTCCAGTGGAAAAAAAAATTTGAAATCTCTCTCTTCACATATTTCTGTTCCTCAGAGAGATGCCAGTGGAGGTCAGGAAGGAGGTAGGAATAATCAGATACAGAGAGACAATCCACTGACAATATTCATGACACCTTCATATTAGTGACAAATGACAACAAATATAGGGATTCCTGAAGAGTAGATAAAGGGACAAAGCAAATTTGCTCTAATTCATAGTTTCTTGGAGTGACTGAGCTCCAGCTTAGGATACTACATTCCCATTTATTTCAAATTCCTTGAGTTTCCTAAAAAGTAAAGGAAGCAGTAAACAATGTTTACCTCCTTCCTTTCTTTATATAGATTAGTCTATCAGAAAATAAACCTTAATGAAGGTCTCATAGGCACATGATACTTAGGAGAGTACAAAAATAAGACAAACACAGGCTCTGCCCCTGAGGAGCTCACGATTACTTTACAGGATTTTGATCCCAGGATACATTGCTGAGATTTAATAATAGTTACAAAGTTGTCTGACGAGCTTTCATATACAAAATACGCATAGGGTCAAAGTTTGGTGTGTACTCTTCGATGTGTCATAAGGCCAGACCAATGCCTGAAGGGTTTCCCACATTCTTTACATTCATAGGGCTTCTCTCCAGTATGAATTCTCTGATGCTGAGTAAGAGCTGAGCGTTGATTGAAGGCTCTCCCACATTCATTACATTCATAGGGTTTTTCTCCAGTATGAATTCTCTGATGTTGAATAAGGGAAGAGTTCTGATTGAAGGCTTTCCCACATTCCCTACAATGATAGGGTTTATCTCCAGTGTGAATTCTTTGATGCTGAATAAGGTCTGAGCTCACCCTAAAAGCTTTCCCACATTCACTACATGAATAAGGTTTCACTCCAGTGTGAATTTTTTGATGTTTCCTAAGATATGAACGTCGGCTGAATGCTTTCCCACACTGAGTACATTTGTGAGGTTTCACCCCTATATGAATTCCCTGATGTTTTCGAAGTTCTGAGTTCTGCTTGAAGGTTTTCTCACATTCATTACATTCATAAGGCTTCTTGACAGTCTGATCTATTTGACGTACACTAGAAGATGAATTCTGTCTGGAGTTTTGGTCATTTGTAGCAGACACATGGGTTTTCTCTCCTGTTGGAATTCTATGTTGTGTAACCAGGTTTGAGTTCAAATGACAACTACACAAACACTCATCATATTTATGGCCATTCTCTCCTAAGGGAATTTTTTTAGAAGGGATGGTCACTACCACAAAATTTCCATCCTGGGATAAGGATCCCTCTACTTTCTCCACTTTGTTTCCCTGTTGCTTGTCTAGAGTGCCTTCACATTCATAGGCTTCTCCAACCTTGGTTCCCTTGGAAGCATCCACTGGGAATCTTCCAGATAGCTTCTCCTGTGACTCCTCTTCTTCTGAAAGTTCCTGCTTTGGAAGAGTCCACTTGGTACTAGTCTCAAAATCTGAAATGATCAACAGAAAATACAAATGTCATGGGTGTCTCTCAGGAAGCAGAGTGAGTTCCAAGAAGGAACTGGCAGCTTAGTGAAAGCAAGACAGGGGTTTTTATAGGGCAAAAGATGCAATTACACAACAGAATATACAAATATTAAAAAGGCAGGAGGGGTGTGTCAAGGGATTAGGCAATAGGGGAGGGGTCCCAGCCTCAGTAGAACTGTGCGATTTCCCATAATGCATACAGAAAAACTCATTGGAGGAGAGGAGCATGTATATTTGATAATGATATTATAATAAGCCTCTCTACATCATAAGTTCACCTAAAGGACAGCTTTTGCTTTTACTGCACGGGTGCCTACTTAGGCCTTATTAGGATTCTATCAACCCCACCCCGCAACTACACACAAAAATGACTATGAAGCAGCTGGGTGGTGCAACGGATAGAGCTCTGGGTCTGAAGTTTGGAAGACCTAAGTTCAAATCCAGTCTCAGACCCTTACTAGCTATGTCACTTAACCTGTCTGCTTCAGTTTCCTCAACTGTACGTGGGGAAAAGAATAGGACCCAACTTTCAGAATTGCTGTGAGGATTAAATAAGATGAAAATACTTGTAAAGCACTTCTCACAATGCCTGGCACGTAGTATTCTTGCAATTACACTTGTTCTCCCCCCTCCCTCATTCCCCGCACTCTTAATCTCACAATCATCCACAAGTGTTCCACTTCCACGTTGACAAACTGAAATTGCCTTAGGTGATTCATAATCAGCTGTCATTACACATTACACATCCACATCTCCTTCTACCATACAACTTAACACTCTGTTCTTCATCCTCACTGCAACCTCTGATTGCTCTACCCCTTATGTCTCCTCCAGGCCATCACCTCTACAGTGGCTACACTCTCCTCCCTTCCCCATCCTGGCAAATACCAGGTCAGCTCTACACTGTCCTCTCCTCTCGAGATTCTTTGCCCCCTTCTCCTATCACAAGGCCCTGCCAAGCCTCGCCCTTCAATTACACCCCCTTCACCTCCCCTCCTCTGTCTTCATTCTTATTTATGTGCTGCTGAATGATGCTGGAGAAAGCTGAAACTGTGTTGAATGAGTCCACTATAAATTTATATTACATAATCTCAACTAGGCCCTCATTGCAGCAAGACAATCCTTTTATACTTCTCTAAACAACTCACTATCCCACTTACCGCCAAGCATTCCTCCTAAACCTTTTCATCAGTCTCACTCTTCCCATGGCCCCTCACCACCCGCTCACAGCTGAGAGCCTTGTCTCATGTTTCACTGAAAGAATTCAGGCCTTTTGCCGGGAGCTCCCTCTCCTCCCTCTCCTCATCTCCTAACAGGTTGATGCCTCTCCCAGCTTGCTCTGCTTCAGACTCTCATGAAGGGGTGGCCCTTCTCCTTGCCAAGGCAAACATCTACTCCATGAACAAATTATCTCAGTCTAGCAGATACTCCATCTATCATCCCCACTTTCACTTATCACCCAACTCTCCCCCCATCTACTGCTGCCAACAAGCACGTCCATGTCTCCCCCATCCTCAGAAGACCCTCACTTGGTCCATTTATCCCCACTAGCTATCATCCTACCTCTCCCTTCCCTTTCCCAGCTAAACTCCTTGAGAACACCCTCCGCAAAGGTGCCTCTTTTTCCTTTCCTCTCATTCTTGTAACTCTGCAATCTGGCTTCTGACCTCATCATTCAACTGAAACTGCTCTCTCCAAAGTTACTAATGATTTTTTTAATTGCTACATCTAATGGTCTTATACTTTTTGGTCTCTCTGCAGCCTCTGACACTGTCAAACACCCTCTTTTCCTTGATACTCACTTATCCAAGTTTTCCTGACAGTGCTCTCTCCTGATTCTCCTGCTACCTATCAGACACCTTCTTCTCAGTCTCCTCTGCTGGATCTTCATCCAGGTCATGCCTGCTAACCCTGAGTGTCCCTCAAGGTTCTATCCTGTGCCCGCTTCTCTTTTCCCTATACTATTTCACTTGGTAAACTCATCAACTTCTATGTATTCAATTATCATTTCTATGAAGATGATTCTCAAATCTACTTATTCTGCCTTAACCTCTTTCCTAACCTCCATTCTCAAATTTCCAACTGCCTATTAGACATCTCAAACTGAATATCACGTAGATGTTGTGTCTTAAGCTCAACATATGTAAAACTGAACTCATTATTTCCCCCCAAAATCCTCTCCCACTCTTCCTAACTTCCGTATTCTTGTCAAGGATACCACCTACCTCTCAAAATCCACTCCTCATTCTCTCTCACCTCCTCCCTGACATCCAAATAGCGTCAAGTCTTGTCATTTCTACCTTCATAACATGTCTGGTATATGTACTGTTCTCTCCAGGTGCAGGTCTCCATCACCTTGTGCCTAGACTATTGTCAAAAGCTTGACAACGGATCTCTGCTCCTTAAGTCTCCCCCCACCTCAGGGCATGTCTCACTCACCTAGCTGTAAGAATGATCTTCTTAAAGCTCGGGTCTGACCAGTTTCCAAACCCTGCCTGCCTCAGTTTCCTCAAAATAAAATGGGGTATAATAATAACATTAGTTACCTCACAAAGTTGTTGAGGGGGATCACATGAGATAATCTGTGTAAAGCTCTTAGTAAAGTGCCTGGTTACATAACCGGGACATAATAAATGTATGTTCCTTCTCCCTTCCATTCTCCTATTCAACAAACCCTTATGGCTCCCTCTCAGTTCCACGATCAAATATAAAATACTGAGTTGGGCTTTTAAAACCTTTCCCAACGTGACTTTCTACCTTCCCAGGCTTCTTGAACTTGTCCCACCTGCACATCTTGGTGATCCAGTGACATTGGCATCCTTGCTGTTCCTCAAACATAACAATGAATTCCCCTCTCCTTGCACTCTCACTGGGCGTGTCAAGTGCCTCCTCAACTGGGCCGCCTGCCTTCCATGCCTTCCTTCAACATCCCACCTTCTACAAGAAGCTTCTCAACCCCATTAAGCTAGTGCCTTCCCTATGTTGATTATGTCCAATTTAACCTGTATATATCTTGTATGTACACAGTTCTTTGCATATTCTGTGCCCCATTAGACTATGAGCTCCTTCAGAGCAGAGGTTGTTTTTCTCCTTTCTTTATAACCAGCGGTTACCACAATATGTGGCACACAGTAGGGGCTTAATAAATGCTTGCTGATTTATCTTGATTGTTAACAAAACAAATGCAGTATGGTAGCTTTATAATATTATCAATAAAACACTTAAGCAAATTTGCTGTGGAAAATTGAATCAGGAAATGTCATATTTTCTTATCCTTGAAAAGATACTAGAGTTAAAGATGCTGACAATGTTGATCTTCTAATTTACAAGATCATGCAGCACCTGAAATGACTGGTTGTTGAATGAAAATCCCTTCAAAAATCCCTTCACAGAATCAGATTTTTAAATGGGAAGGGACCTGAAAGGCCATCTAGTTCAATCCCTCACTTTACAGATAAGAAAAGTGAGGCCTAGACAAGTTACATGACTTGCCCAAAATCACACTGATTGGAATTGGCAAAGCCAGCATTTCAACTGATGTCCTTTGATACCAAATCCTGTATATCACACCACCTCTTAATCACTGAAGGCAAGAAACTCAGGAGCCAGACCCTGTTCTAACCCATTTAAAAATAACCCCCACTCCCATCGCCGCCTCTTCTCTCCCTTCTTCCCCTCCTTCTGATATTCAGTCTTGCTCCTCACCTCTTTCTTGCAGGAACTGGGGCTTGGGAGACCCGCACTTGATCTGGGCGTCCATAGGCTGAAGCTGGACATTCAGTGCATCCTGTGCTGCTCTCAAGGGTGCCATCTTCTCCCAGGCCCCTGCCTCTCTCTGTGTGCTTGATGCAACCTGGAGATAACGAGATATGTTTGCCTTTGTGAAAGAATCACCACGGAGGCTAAAACATAAAATATAGAAAGAAAGTACATTCCTTCAGGGATACAGGACAGGGAAGGAAGAACCAGAGTCTTGTTTGTCAGATTCAAACTGGCTGTATTAAGATTAACAAAACCATAAACCAATCCAGGAGGCACTTTTTATTACTAATGAATAGTCTACTGCCTTTCAAGAAAATAGCTGACTTGGCACATGAAAGAATTAACCACATAGGAAATTTTTGTTACTGATACACAGGAAATCTCAAGAAATTTCATGTGATTATTTGAACAATGAATGATTTAGTATTGAGTACTATGAATGTACAAGAAATCTTGAAACAATATAAAAATATTCTTATTTATATTTATCCATTTTTACCAATTAAAAATAAATTACGGGTTTACCTTTTACCATTAATAAAATAGCACATCGATAATATTACTTTAACTTTTAGGAACTGTGAAAACCATGCTGTCACAGAAAAATCGTCCTTAAGCATAAATCCTAAGTGTAAAATGTTAGGGAAGATTTATAGTATAGAACTGCTGGCCAAAAAAATCTGATTTCCCCCTTTGCTGTTGTGATAGAAGACAATAAAGGAACCTTAACAATTATCTAGTCCAAACCCTTCATTTTACAGCATGAGAAAACTGAGGACCAGAGAGGTTAAGAAATTTGCTCTAATAAGCAGAAGAGACAGAATTTAAGACCAGTTCCTGCGACTCCAAATTTAACACACTTTGCCCTCTACCAGCCTCCCTCCCACACCATGCTTATTTTCAGTCTCCATCCTCTTTGACCTTTTACCACATTTGATACTGCTGACCCCCTTCTCCTTTTTAAAACTCTGTACTTCAAAAATATTTACAGCAGCTCATTCTGTAATGGCTAAGAACTGGAAATCAAAGGGATGCCTATCAATTGGGGAATGGCTAAACAAGCTATGGTATATGATTGTGATGGAATATTATTATGCTATAAGAAATAACCAGCAGAAAAACCTGGAATGACTTACGTGCAAAGTGAAATGAACAGAACCAGGAGAACACTGTACCACAGTAACAGCAATATTGTTCAATGAAGAACTGTGAATAACTTAGGTATTCTCAGCAATACAATGATCTAAGACAATCCCAAAGAACTAATGATGAAGCATACTATCTGCCTCCAGAGAAACAACTGATATTGTTTGAATACAGACTGAAGCATATTATTTTTCATTTTTTTCTTTCTTTTTCTTTTATTCGAATCTTCTTATACGAAATGACTAATATGGAAAAGTTTTACATCATTGTACATGTATAACCTATATCTGATTGCTTCCCATCTCAAGGAGGGGACAGGGGCTGTGAGGGATGGAAGAATAGAATTTAGAACTCAAAACTTAAAAAAAAAACTGAGGTTTAAAATTTTTAATAAGTAACTGGGGAAAAAAATAAAATATATTTAAAACTCTGTATTTCCTTGATTTTCAAATACTACACTATACTTCTTCTCCTACCTGTCTGACCACTTCTTCTCTAGGTCTTTGTATGATTCCTTTCTCCATTCCCAATGCCTAAAAATAGGCATGCTGTAAGATTCCGTTCTTTTCCCTGTACTCTACACTGTAAGGTGACAGGGCATAGAGGGCTGGGCCTGCAGCCTGAAAGACCTGAGTCCTAATACAGCTTCAGACATTTAATAGCTGTGTGAACCTGGACAAGTCACTTAACTTCTCTTTGCCTCAGTTTCCTCAACTGTAAAATGGGCATAATAATATCCCCTACCTCACAGGATTGTTGTAAGGAATAAATGAGATCAAATGAGATAATATCTGTGAAGCACTTAGCACAGGACCTAGAACATAACAGGAACTTAATAAATGCTTGTTCCATTCTCTACACTGTCCCTAAGAGACCTCATTCACTTTGAAGTAGATTTAGCAATTATGTCATCAATCAGGTTAAAAACCTCAGTCATCCTTGATTTTCTCCCTAACTCCTATATCCAAAACTCACCAAGTCCTGTTGATTTCTTTTGTCTTTCTATCAACATCACTTAGGGTAGTGCCTCACAAATACAAGATGCTTAATAAATGCTCACTAATGGACTATAGAAATTGCTTCCTAAAATGGTACTACTGTCTCCAATCTCCCTTAACTACATCAATAATATGAAGTCATGAAGACTCATCTTCCTGAGTTCAAATCTGACCTCAGACACTTAATAGCTGTGTTACCCTGAGCAAGTCACTTAACCATGTTTGCCTCAGTTTCCTCATCTATAAAATGAGCTGGAGAAGGAAATGGCAAACCACTCCAATATCTTTGCCAAGAAAATCCCAATGGGGTCATAAAGAGTCAGACACAACTAAAAAATGACTAAAAACTACCAGAATAATCTTACTAAAACTGCTTTTCCTCACAACAATCCCTTGCTTAAAAGAAACCTTCACTGAGTCCCTAATGGCACTAAAAAAGTCCAAACTCCACAGGCTGTCACGTAAGACGCTCTTTCCTTTGCAGCCTCAAACTATTGTCCCATATGAATCCTCCAACTCAAAGAAGTCAACTATGCCATGAATACTTTATGCATGTTCGACTCCCTAACTGTGAGCAGTACTCACTCTGCTTGCAACAGTACTTCTGCTTGTATGTGTGTGTGTGTGCGTATTCACACTCTCCCACATACATATATGCTTATTTATCCCTCAAGAACCAGATCAAAGTTTATGCACTTTCCACAGAAATTTGCCAGACTAATCAACTGGCATTTCACATTTTTGGTCCATGGTGGTTCCCAAGTATGAGGGTCCCCTTTTAAAGAAAAAAACATACCCCTAGACAGTACCACATTCATAGTGCACATTTTGCTAGAGCTAAAAATCAAAATGATAGCACAAATATGGATTCACATATAACCCTTGAAACTATTCTAGGAGGCTCCTAGGGGTCCAGAACCCACAGGCTGGGAACCACTGGTATAGATCACTTATTTGGGAATGAATATGTGATATGGATTGTAGGTTCTTCTATTGTTATGTATGTTTTAGTGCTCCATCTTCAAAGCCTTGAACTCTTAAATTCCCTTCTCTGATCATAATCTAACTCTCCACCTTGCCATTCCTGCCAAACTTGCTGCCCACAATCACAATAATGTTCATTCTGTCCCTTCAACCTTCACTGCTGTTGTGGCTCTACCCAGCCTTGACCTCACAGGTCACCAGTTTCAATGACATCAGGCATCACCTGAGAATCTTTTACCCCTTTCCCTTTCCATACTGACCCATCCCCAACCCTGAATAACACTTGGCTACACCTGAAATACGGTATGCTACCAGAGAAAGTCAAAAAACTGTGGCCAGTGGGTGAGTATGTCCAAAACAACCTTGCCAACATCAGTCTGGGTCCCTCACTACAACTTACTCCCTATACTATTTCCCACATTTTTTTTACTTTTGCCCATCCCCAACTTCACTTCCTACCCCCTTCCCCAATCATAGATCTCATTTCCTACTTATCCTGAGAAGAGTGAGGTCATCTGACCTAAACCTCCTCAACTTCTTTCTTCCTTCTCACTTCAAAACCTCTCTATTCCCTATCTTTTCTTCCTCCTAGACCAAAGAAACAGCTGGCCTTCCTCTTTGCCAAGACTAACTTCACTTATCATTTTGACCCCATCCCCTCTTGCCTCCTCCAGGATTTGGTTCCCATCATAATCCTTTCCATATTGGAATCAACAAGATCTGAGGAGAAATCCTGACTCAGACACTTCTATCTATCCTGGGAAGGTCACTGATTACAGGGTTGTTGTCAGCACTAAATGAGGTGACAGGTGAATAGAGAGCATTTTGCAAAACTTCAAGCAATCAACAAATACTAGTATTATTATGAAGTTTCACTTTCTCTCAGCAAGCTCTTTCCTCTCACCTATAAACCATGGTTAGCCTCCCTTATCTGAAAAACAAAAACTTTCTACTGAGGTTGCTACCTCTTTCAAGTGACCACTCCATTGTCTTTCCTCCTCTTCAGTGTCAAATTTCTAGAACTACATTCATTCTTTCTTCTTCCTCATTGCCAGCTCTTTCATACTATTCTGGCTTCCCTACTCTCCACGCTAGTATTTGTCAGCCTTGATCTCTCTGCAGCATTTGACACTGGTAACCTGCTCCCTCCCTCCTCCTTTCTTCCCACCCTTCTTGGCTTCCTAGACACTGTACTCTTATAGTTTCCTGCTTGCCAATCACCTTCTCTCTCTTTTGATTTCTCTTCTTCCTCTTGCTGTCCTGTAGAGGTAGATGTTTCCAAAAGCTCTCTCCTTGACCCCCTTCTCTTACTATTAACTCTCTCCTTTGATAATATTATCCACACCCAAAACACCAACTCTGGCCTCTGTGGAAGCAGAAGTATCCCACTGCTATGTCTCTAAACTGTCTCTTGGTCTACAACGATTTGCTAGAATTCAGAGCTTCTTAAACTTTTTCCACTCATGACCCCTTCAGAGCTTCTTAAACTATGGGTTGTGACCCACAGTTTAATAAATGTTGTAAGAAGACCTGGGGCACCCCAATATCAACATGTCTCAAACTAAAGAAAGAAGTTCTGCCCATTCACCCCCAACTCTGTTAATGGGATGAACAACCTTTCAGATATGCAGACTGGAAATTATTGGCATTATCTTTGGATGTGGCCAACAAGGGAGAAAAAAGAGGCATAAGTCCTGTTGATCCTTTCTCTGAAATCTTTTATCACAACCAGCCCATCCTTTTCATTTACATTTCCCTTGGAGCTGACCCTCACTACCTTTCCTCTCAACTTGTGCAATAATACTCTTAACCAGTTTCCCAGACTCCTGTCTCAGTACCTCCAATTACTGCCCAATGAATCACAATAACTCTATTCATCTTATTTCGTCCCATAAATAAGCATCAATAGGTCTCCACTACCTGCCTTAACTTTAGAAACCCACTTCCTAGCTCTAAATGCTTATCCTATCACACAGTTAGTACTCAAACAAGGAATGCACTAACTTCCCTCCTGTCCCACACCTAGATTCAACCTATCTTTTGAAAGTCTAACTGTTACCCCCTCTTCCAATGTATAGCAACACAAATATCTCCTTTAAGAACTTTTCTTGGCTTCAAATGTCTCCACCACCACCAGCCAGAAGCAAGCACCTCCTTTTCTGAACTCTCATAACAATCTGCACCTCTCCTATATCTGTATTACATCTAATTGGGATTATAGTTATTGTCTTATCTTCCCTATCAGATTCTCAATCCTCAAAGAAATTACAATGATTAGGCACAGAAATGTTTACCGAACTGAATCTAGTGCCAATGAATGGATTTTTAGATAACACAAGAAGCAAGGATTGTATCTTATGCTTTTTTGTAGCCCTCACATGATTAGCAATGCCCTAAATATAGCAGGCAGTCAATCAATATCTGAATGAGTCTATAAACATGTTGCCTATATCCTACAGCCTCCTACAAGGAGGGAATTCCTACATTTCTGGCAATTTCATATGGTCAAGAGCAGTTGAGTAATTGGTAACAGGAGAGCAAAGAAGAGACAAACACATAGGCTGAGTCCTAGCCACTAAAGTCACACTAAAGATTTGAACTCATTCACTTTCTTCTCATTAATTTTCCCCTAATCAATAAATAAAGTCAATAAGCATTTATTAAGCATCTACTATGTGCCAGGCACCATACTAAGTGCTGGGGATGAAACAAAAGGCAAAAAAACAGCCCTTGCTCTCAGGAAGCTCACAATCCAATAGAAAAGACAACCTAACCTCATTTCCCCACAATAAATCACACCTGCCTTTTTCCCACCTGATGTCCTGGTTCACCAAGCTGTCTCTCCAAATCCTCCAGTACAATTACCACCTCCTCTCCACTCTCTAGATGCTGATCTCTCACCCAGGTCTGCAGGTCCTCTGGCAAAATGGTCAGGAACTGTTCCAGGACCAGCAGCTCCAGAATCTGCTCCTTTGTGTGTATCTCTGGTCGCAGCCACTGATGACAAAGTTCCTGGAGTTTGCTCAGAGCCTCTCGGGGTCCAGGGGCGTCACTGTAGCCAAACTGCCTGAACAGCAGGCGGGAGATCTCCTGGGTGGAAGGGCTGTTCCTCTTCTGGCTACCTTTCTCTCCCCACAGGTAATCCTCTTCTTCCTCCACCTTTACTTTCACTACTTGAAGTCTCTCTTTCCAGGCTGGATTCTGAGGATCGAGGGCTCCAGATTCTCTGGATTCTAGAGCCATTTGAGCTTGTTCAAATTTTTAAAACAACTCTATAGGGGCCTATGCTTCAGAGGAGTTCCCCTTAGGCTGCTCTTTAAGGACACCCCTAAGATATAGGAAACCAGAGTTAATGAGTTATTAAATTAAGAATGCTATTAGAGACCTTAAACAACTTCATGAAGGTCAGCCGGAGGGGGAATTCTGACAAAAACTTAAACAAGTAATTCCCAAGCAATTGTGGATATTTTCTCTTTGGGGAAATAGAAATATCATGAATTTCTGGGCCCCCTAGCGGTCACCAGGCCTCACTGAGGTCACACTTCAGGTAGTCCCTGTAATGCCACCAAGCAAGCGCAAAAGTCCAACAGCCCACCTCGCCCCCCACAACTCACCTACCCCCCACCCCAGTAATGTATCTTTCCCTCTCCCCCGCCAGACCCCCAATACCATTCAGGGGCCAGGAAACACAACTGGCAAATTCACAGACTTCGTACATAACAGTTCTCAGCTGACACAGCGACCTGCTGTCATCCACATCTCTGGTCTCCTTAAGTGGTTAGTTCCTGTCCACTGCAGGGATACTGCCAACCCCGACCCTCCTCTAACCACAGCGACCCTCTCTGCACCTCTGCTTCCAGACTACATATCCCGGAACCTCCAGGCCGGGTTTCCGCCCTTCTCTGGGTGATTGAGACAGACGGACCACTGTCAAGCGGTTGCTATAGTGACAGGCTTGGGCGGCACGTGACTCCACCAGAGTCCATGCTCCGCCCCGGGCTGGCTCTACACAAGAGGGCGGAGGTCTACACTACATGGACCCGCTGCAGCCACTGCTATTACTCAAACGCTTCACTGAGTCAAGGAGCTCAAGGCTCAGAGTCCAGCACAGAAAGGAAGCTGGCTGCACGTCCCCAGAGACCAGCGCCGCCCGGATTGCTGGGAAACGTAGTCGGGGGAAACGGACGTCCCGAGGCCCCGGAAGCTTCTGGGAATCGTAGTCCAGCGGCAGCTCGTACGAGCGTCCATGACATCCTGTGCGCCCCAGCTGGAAATGCTTAAGCCCTTCTCCCTCTAAGAGAATTGTCCTCCTGCAGCTCTGTGTGTTAAGCGAGTCCTGGCTCCTCCACCTGGAAGAGGACGGCCCCTCCCCCTCCCGCCTCCTTACCTCCTTGCCCACAGGGAAGATGGCGGTGAGGATGAAGCCCAAGAGTTTGGCGCCGGGAAAACGGGCTGATCCCGCGCAGGTGACGTCATCGCGGCGGGTGGGGGGGTTTGGGGTCGGCCTGGCTCCGAAGAAGGGGGAGGAGGAGCAGCCGCAGCTGACCGCCCGGCCCTTGGCTTGGACTGCTTCCTTGGAGGTGACCCTCCGGTCCGCGCTGCCCAACTCGCGGGGCTCCCTGCGGGGGCGGGAGCAAAAGTCCGCCCGGGCCTTTGTCGGGGCCCAACCTGCCCTGCCGTCCACCGGCTCTCTCCAGATTTGGGGGGCACGTGTTTACCCAACCCTGTCTTCTTCAGGCCCTGGGGTTCGCTCTTCTGTTCCATTCACCTTTTTCTGTCTACACCTTCCGCCCCCTGTACCAGGCAGCTTTTATACCTATTCTTCTGGGTTACCTTTGGAAAGCCAGCAATAACAATAGCCAGTGTTTTAAAATCTGAAAAGAAAGCCCATTCTGAAGAAATAGTGTCTCTTCTACACCGCCACCCTGGCATATGGGGACAGTTATTATCCCCATTTTACAGATCAGAAAACTCCGGCAAGACAGAGTGACAGACCAGTACGTGTCTGAGGCTGGATTTGCGTTCAGGTTTTCATGATTCTGGGCACTGTCCATCACCCAGCTGCCAGGGGGAGTTATTAGGGAACACCAGCCCTTTCCTCGCCATGTGTTCACTTTTCCTTCTTGAGTCTCTTTCCTTCCTACTTTCTGTTGAGGTTAGAGTTGGGAGAGCTGGTTCGGGTATGGAAGAATTCACTTAGACCTTTTCTGTAGCCATTGGTGATGAGTGGACCCCAAGAATATTGGAGTGCTACCTGAAATTATGAGGAATAGACGTGGGGTCCTAGCGTCCAGAAAGAATACACCCAGACAGCCTCCAACTTAAAGAAAGGCATTTTGGGGTGATGTATCCAAGTGGGCTTTCTCCCCTTGAGGCAGAACCCCAATGGGCTTACTCCCCATGGAGAGCAGACCCTAGGCTGCTGGCCCTGCTCCCCTAAGGGAGCAGAGTGGCCCCTGCTTCCCAGCTGGAGGTTAGCAGGTCAAAGGTATGGTTTAAATACAATTTTATGGAATAGGGGGAAGGGGACAAGAGAATGGGAGGAGCAAGCATGGCTCCAAAATGTCTGGTAGTCCAGAAGTGATAAGCAAAGAGAACAGGAGAGGGGAGGGAAAGAGTTGTTCTGGAATCGAGGGTGCTTTGTGAAAACACACAGGTAAGTCCACAGTGGGGGCTTCAATGCATAGTCTTCTTGGATCACTTTTCTGGCTGGTCACATCCTGCATCCCATTTCCCATCTCATGTCCTGCTTGCCCTATCTGCCTCAAGCACTCTTTTCTACCTCATCACTCTCCATATGAATCTCCTTAGGATCATGTGTAGTAGCCTATTGCTACTATTATGGAGCCCAGAATTAAAACAGAAGGTAGATTGGCAATGGGAAATTTGCTGGGCTTCTTTTTTTGTTGGTCAGTCGTTTCTGAATTTTCGTGACCTCGTGGACCATACAGGGTTTTCTTGGCAAAGATACTGGAATGGTTTGCCATTTCCTTCTCCAGTGGATTGAGGCAAACAGGATAAGTGACTGGGCACTGTGTGCTCAAGAATCACACAGCTAGTAAGTGTCTGAGGCCCAATTTGAACTCGGGTCTTCCTGACTCCAGGCCCAGTGGTCCAACCACTGAGCCACCTAGTTGCCTTCTGGGCATCTTTAATGATCCTAAACTTCTTGAAATGAAGGACTGTCTTTTAAATTCCTATTCTACTAGTGATGTGGTTTGGCTTCAAGTTTTAGAACCCCAGAGCTGCCCAGGAATTAAAACTAGTTTGTCACCCATAAGGATGATATTGACTTGATGATCTGTAAAGCACATTTCAGGTCAAAATTATTGATCTTATGAATTTGTGTTCTTGCATCTATCCAGCACTGTAACAATTCAGTGCAATTGTTTCTCCCTTTTTCCTTATCTAGTTTTTTCCGCCAAACTAAATGTCCATTGTTTAAACTGCACCAAATACTTTTGATGATTACTGTTTTATAGTAAAACTTGAGGTTTGGAAATGCTATTATCCTTTCATTCTTGGTTTTTTTCCCATTGTTTCCTTTGAGATTATAGACCTTTTGATCTTCCAAATGAATTTTGTCATTTCATATAGTTCTTTAATTTATGTCCTTTGCAGTCCGATTGGTATAGAAGGACATCTGTAAATTAATTTGGCTAGTATTATCATTTTAATTATGTAGGCACATTTCAAGCCTGAACATTGAATATTCTTCCAATTATTTTAGTCATTCATTGAAGTAAAGGATATCATCAATGGAATGTATTGCTGAAAAATAAGGCTGGCTGGTCATGTGGGAAAAGAGATGTAATTAACATTATCAGGGGTGAAAGAATAAATCATAGAAACAATAATTATATGGAAAAAAGATGATGATAAACAACGTACTAAAATTTCTGAGATGTACCTAAAGCACTCCTCAGGGGAAAAATTATATCCCATCAAACATACATGAACAAAATAGAAAAAGAAGAGATTTAAAGGTTTAAAATTTAGAAAGCTACCAAATAAACCTCAAATAAACACAAAAGAAGAGATATTGAAAATTAAAGAAGAAATACACAGGAAACAAACAAAAAAACTACAAATGAATCTGGTTTTCTTTTTTAGATACTAATAAACTTGATAAACCTTAAGCTAATATGATTAAAAAGAGGGCAGAAAATCAAATCAACAAAATAACAAATGAGGAAGGTAAAATCACAGCAAAACCAAAAGAAATTTTTAAAAATTCTTAGAATTTATCAGAGTTGTGATAAGTTGTGACAAAACTGATGGAATACCTTTGAAATATATAAACTGTTCAAAATAACAGAAAATCAGATAGAGATCTTAAATAATCCAATATCAGAAAAGGAAAATGAACTTACTGTAAAGAAACTACCAAAGGGGGAAAAAAATCCTACTACTTATGGATTCAATGGAGAATTCTATCAAAATTCTAAAAAAAAATTGAGACCCATATTACACAAAATATTTTCCAAAAATAGAGAAAGAAAGCACCCTACCAGAATCTTTCTATGAGCCAAATATATAAGACAATTATCTAAACCATGGAAGGATAAAATACATGAAAATTATAGACTAATATCATTAATATTGATTTTTTAAAAAACTTTTAAATAAAATCCTCTCAGACTATAGCACTTCATCCAAGAAATCATTCATTATGACCAAGCTGAATTTTTACTATGGATATAAGGAAAACAACACAATCCATATTAAAAACAAAAAGAACCAAAACTACATCATTATTTCAATAAATGTAGAAAAAGCCTTTAACAAATGCAACAGTAATTTATGCTGGAAAAAAAAAAGTAAAGTATGGGCATGGAGAGACTTTTTAAAAAAATATTTTAAGTATCTAAAACTAAAAGCAAGTTTCTTATGCAAAGGGGAAACAGAACTTTTTCCAAAAAATATAGAATTAAATCGAGGTTGTCTACTCTCCCCACTATTATTTGATATAGTTCTGGAAATGCTATCAATAACACTGATGAGAGAAAAAAATAAAGGTGTAAAGATTCGTCAAGACGAGATAAAACTGCTTATTTGCTGATGATTTCGAAGTTTACTTGGAAAATTCTAGGAAATTAGCAAAGATACTAATAAAAAAATTAATAGCTTTAGCATAGTTGCAGGTTACAAAATAAACCCCCCAAAATCAACTGCCTTTCAATATGACAACAATCCAAAAATTCCAAATAACCATAAAGTGCATAAAATAATCTGAGAATCAATCTACCAAAAACACAAAAGATTTCTATTAATTCAGTTAAAGGGCTACTTAAAGAAATTTAAAACAAATTAAATAGTTTAAGGAATATCTAGTACTCATGACTGGGCCATGCCAATGAAATAGAAATAACAATAATACCAAAGTCAATTAATGTATTTAATGCTGTACTAATCAAATTATCAGAAGTACTTTTTAGAAGTTAATAAAATAATCACAAAATTCATTTGAAAAATACACACACACACACACACACACACACACACACACACACACACACACA